TGATAATGCTACAGCTGCAAGTTCAGTTTTCCCCAGGTGACCACAGAACACCGTGCTGACAAAACCGATCATGAAAACCATCAACTGGGAAATGACCTGAAGAAGAGGAGATACTGACTCTGTGTTGTATTTAGAAATACATTTAAAGGAAACATAAATAAGTAATGAATATGATTAAAACATTTAGTAACTTAAGGATGTTAAACATTTAAGAAATATTGAAGCAAATGTATGTTGTTGAGGTTTAAGCAAAATCTGGGCTAATTTGACATATAATCCAAATAAGCCATTAAACACAATTAATGCATCTAAAATTAAATAAAAACGATGCCAAACCTATCTAAGCAACTAAACAGGTATAAACAGCTCGGTCCTAAAGTTTAGTTTAAACAAACGGGACGAGATATAACACAGTCTTAAGAACGAGTCCCAAGTTTACTGACACATGGCACAACATCTGTAGTAAATCAGCTCTTCCTGTCAGTAACATCACACAGAGAGCGACAAACAGGGATGCCAAATAATGTCCGAATAAAAACACCACTACAGTTAAATATAGCTATTCAGTTGTTGTGTACACACAGTCTTACCACTGGTCCCGCTAGTTTGAAAAGTTGCACAAGCTCATTGCGGTAAACTGTTGGAATGAATCCAGGGACACATTTCTGGCAACAGCCGCGGGAGCTCTGTGCCGCTTCACCTTCCTTTAAATCCCCCCTCGCCGCCTCTGTGCATTTTCCTGCTGTTTTTACCGAAGCGTCCATAATTGAACAGATCCAGGTGTTCTCTGCAAACAGCCGGACTGCTTCCTGTCACTGCTTCGCTCTCAGCAGCTACTGTATCTGGTAGAGGCTGATGTTTTGATAACGGGATCACGATGAGGAGGAGCCAGACACCCGCGGTAAGTTGAGGAGTGTCCTGGTGCATGTGTGTACTGCTGCTGGGCAGTTTGGGAGTGTTTACACTTGTAAATAGCGCGTGCCACAGCACGGCGACAGTCCCGCTAAGTGTGTGTTTAACACTCTCTGTCTAATCTATGGGGAAGGAAGAGAAACCAAACAAACGATTTATTTTAGTTCAGTAACTGGAAAAAAGATAAATCTCGGTGGACAATAATTTCATAACAGTAGAAGTATGGGTGCAAAAAAACAGAGAACAGTCTTCCTCACACTGACTTGCATAAAGTTCGGTCCTCAAACTAATATACATTAACATACTTTCATCAGAAAAAATGTTGAAAACTAATATTTTTTGCAGGTCAGACTGTCTGCAGAGTCTGTTTGCGATGCTGGATTGTTTTGCATCTGCAACTTTGGTTCAGGTGGTTGAGCAGGTTGTCTTGCAGGATCCTTGGGTACTGACCCCCAAGTTTACCCCCAAGTGTGTGTGTGTGTGTGTGTGTGAAATTGTAAGAAAGTCCTTAGGTATAGATAAAAGCAATATATGAACATGTGTGTTTGGGTCAGCTGAGTAGGAAGGTGCTACACATAGCGGCATGGCTGCTTTGTTTGACAGGCGCACAGACACAGATAGCCGTAGCTGACCTATCCTCACGCCTGTGTTTGTGCTGTTGGTGCCTTTTAAACAATTTTATCAGAATGGCGTGATAAATAATAACACAGTGTGTTGTTCGCCTGCCCAAGAGGCCGTGCATTATTTGTATATTACTTAGCACTTAGGAGGTATCTGTAGCTATAAGATGGTAATATCACAACATTCATCTTTTATATACAGTCTATGTTTTTAACTCTTGAAAATGACTCTGAACAAGGTTATGCAAGTGGTGCAGGACTCCATAAGTATTAACATAGAGAGAAAAGACTGGAAATATTGATAAATGATAACTAAATAATGGGTAAATAAACAAAAAAAACCC